GAAGTTCTGCATTCTTAAGGTACTATAGGCACTGTAATAGAGCAACAGGACAACCCAGAAGTTTTTTCAAGCAATGCTCTTCCTTCTGAAAGACACAGAAATATTAACCAAGGGTGCACTGTTCACTTGTTCTTCCTATGTCAATTTATATAAAAATATCAAATGACTTAAATTTCTCCAGAGATAATTCATCATCATGCTTAACTGACTATGCCATGACTAAAATGAGACAATGCTTCCCCTATTTATAGAATAACTTGCAGAGTTAACTCAGCCACCACTAAACCAGACATTAAACCCAATTCTGAAAGTAAAACCTATGAATGATTCAGAAGCATCAGAGTTTGGTGTGAAAGATGTTCCTCTGAATTACACACACACACAATGGCTTTCATAGCGGTCTGGTTAAGAAGTGCTGCTTATCAAAGTTACCAGTTCTTATCTTGGGAGACTTCAGGCAGAGTAAAGCCATAACCTCATCCTCAGGCTTTTGCTTTTTCTTTTTTTTTAAGCTACATACTTGGTCTTTTTTTTTAAAGAAAAGTATGTAGTTAAAATACCTAAATTTAGTATAGAAAACTTCACATCTGAGAAGCAGTTTTAATAAAGTGCCTGCATTGGAAGCCCAGCAAGTGTCCTATTCAACCATCAGCCACGATGAAGCCGATGGGATTTGGTCCACTCCCACGCTGACAGACACTGTTTGCTTTAGCTTCTTAAAAGTTTTTAAACAAAATTCCTTCTTCAATCACTTGCAAGGGAGCACATACAAACTAGTTCCACCCATCAAGGGCTATGGGAAAGCAGCTCAGCAACCCGAGGCACCAGGCCAGGGAGGGAAGAAAACACTTAGTAAGTCCATCATCTCTGTGACGACGGTGAAGCGGCCAAGAAGCAATAAAAATGGGCAAAGAATTTATATCTTCCAGCGTTCAAAATACAATAGAGAGTCAGTCCACAGGTTCAAGTATATTCATTGTGCCTTCAGGCAAATCAACAGGTGATTATAAAGATCAGAATCGTAATACTTTTCAAAATTAAGACAGAAATTTGGGACTTGACCTCAACAGGAAAAGACCCTGAATGTGCATATTTCCACTCTGGAGCAAAGTGACCTGCTGAGTGGATCAAAACTCCCTTAGAAATTCTAAAAGGTGGGAACACGTATGTTCAAGGTATGTGTTTTGCTTTTGAAACCAAATTCCAGATTTGTCCACTGAACTGACGTGGAAAAACACACAGCCTAAAAACAAAAAGCGTGAAGGCTGGTGGGTTTAAATTCAAAATATATTTGCTGTGTAATATCAGCAACTACTAATAATAGAACAAGTAAATAATAATAAGCCAAGAAAAATGAATGTGAGGGAAGAAATTTTTGAGAAGTACCAACAATTTTGAAGATCCTCCCCAAGAGAGAAGGTTTTGACATCTGACAGTTACATCAACAATGCAGAGAAGGACATCAGCACTCACAGCCAGTCCCCTCCAAACCACACCTCGCCCAGAGATGAGTAACAGCATTTTTAGATACTTCCATTTGATTTTAAAGTGACACACTTGCAAGGGAAGTAACTGGAAACATAAAAGCATCTAAGGTTTTGTTACTTAATTTTCTGACATCCCTGGTCCCTCATGCTCAGCCCCTGGGGTGTGACGAGCACGGGGCCAGCAAGTCCCAGCTCTTTTTGGGATCCTGGATTATTGACACAGGGACACAATGAGGATCATGGTGCTGCTGGTGGCACCAAAATCAATATGACAACGCCCTCCAATCCTCTACCTACAGCCCAGCAGCTCTCTTGGCTGAGAGCTGGCACATCCTCCCACCACAAACACTTTTACTGGCCTAAGCACAGGGGGAAGAACGAGTTACTCCAATACTGGATTGATTCCTTCTGCAAATTCTTATTAAAATATCTGATAGACTGTGCCATTAACAGTTTATCACTGAATAATATCAATGGATATGCTAATTATCAGCCTGACTGTACTAATGGTTTTCAGTTTATCGCAGCAAGAGTTGAATAATTGACATATCATTCTAATTAACTTTGGTATTGAAGATTTAGTGTTTTATGGTACTGCAGTTCCTTCATTGAAGCATTTTCCAAAAATGAGAAAGGGAATTATACTAAAGCCTGAGCATTCTGAGAGGGAAAAGCTATGCCAAAACATGTTGTTTGGTAACCTTATTTTCAGAGATGGCAAGCACCCAGATTCAAACTAAACCCAGGGAGGCTGAGAGGTTTGAATTTTGAGTATGATATTCAAAACAAAAATATTTTGAAAAATAAGACATTACTGTTCTGGTCAAGCAATCCAGACAACACATATAAATTAAATCTCCCCAAAAGCCCCTTGGCCAGGATCAGTAAGCAGCAGGCCCCCACTTGCAACACAGGTCAACATCATGAGCTCACAGTTCACAAAGCTCCACCAGCACCAAGGACTCTGCACTTGGCCTCTCTGTGATTCTTATCATATAGAAACTGTTACCCCACACAACGGATTAGAGGGTTATTAAAGTCTACACTAATCCAAAGTACAAACCCAGGGCAGCACATGACATCCATTCTTTTCCTATTTCTTTGCACTATTCCTTCCCCTATTCTTGGGCCCATTTTCCATCCAGTACAGGTTCTGAAATAGAAGACACATTTTATATTATAGTCCTCTCATGTTGTTCCATATATATTATTTCTACTACAGTAGAAATTTTAGTTCTTTTATATTTGCTTTCCACAACACAAATCCTAGCTGATATGTCTTGCACAAGTAAAGAATGCATAAGGTATTTATAATCAATATAAGTAATTACAAAAAGCCATTATTTTTCCTTAGGGGAACATACTAATCCAGTTCTATTTTGCCACATGTAATCTTAAATCAGAGGTTATACTACTCCTTTAAGCAATAAATGCAGGGCAGACAACTAAAAATAGTAAATAATTCATTTCTTCAATTCTCTCCACATTAAAACAGAACAGAGTTTCAAGGCACACTTTTGGCAAGTTACTTACAAATAAAACCAGCATAGATGAGAACAACAGGATAGTAATCAAAGTGGATTAAAAAAAACCCCAAACTGGTCCTATTACAGCCAAAGGAGGATGGGGAGAGGAGCCATTTTAGGAGCTATAATTCCTTAGTGTAGAAACACAGCAACCACTTTCAAAACCCATCCAACTTGCAGCCAGTTCCCTCTGCCACGTGTCTTATTTACAGCATCCTCATCTCCCCACAGCAGGAGAAAGACATCAAACCATACCTCCTACAAGACAGACTTCACCAACCTATCAAATCACTAAATTTACTTGCACCTTTTTTGCCTTCTTTTTAAACAACAACAACAACAAAAATCTACCCAACTTGCATCTTCTAATGTACCACTAAGACACAACTACCTTCCCTGGCCAAGAGGCAGCAAACATTTGGACACTGCACATCTGTGGTCAGACAGCCTGCAAGAGCCAGGAAGAAATTTTGTTGGAAGTTGTTCTGCAGCTCTCAGAAGAACAGGCTAAAGAACAATAAACAATGGTTATTCACCAGAAAGTACACGAGAACAACCCATACAACGCTGACCTTACAAGCATGACAGCAAGGAAATCCACCTTCCCCTCAGTGCTCTCAAAGGCCAGCAAGCAATCACTGACCTTAATGCAGGGGAAAACCCACAATCTAAGCACCTTCATCATTAAAACTTTTAAAAGGCAGCCTGAAATCCTGAAATCCCTGAGGATAAGCACTTTCTCGTGTAACTCAACCAAAAAAAAAAAAAAAAGCGCCCACATAATTCCCTAGACATGCATAATTAAGAATACATCATTGCCCTTTTCTAGCAGAGTGCTTTCCCAGGGAAACTCAACTGTTCTCTAGAAGAGGAGAGCTCTGGCCTAGTCCCAGGCTGGGGAAGCACCAATCCTTCAGGATTCTGCACATCCCTCCAGTTCTCCTGTATCTACATTATGCCCAGCCCCAACTCAGATTTCTTGCTTCCCCACCCCTTCCCATACATCCCACACACTAAACACTGTCCCTTCCATCCCACCTTCCAAGCTAAGCAATACCTACAGTATTTTTTTTTTAATATGCACACAGTTCCATAACCTATTCCACTGTAAAAAACGTCTGTAATTCCTCCCAAACCAGCCAGAAATGACCCTCCCACGACAACAATCAGGGAAAGCTTAGCTTCCTTCTGCACAGGTAGAGATACCAGCTTGAGAGGAGACGTGTCATTTTTCTTTGTCTTTTCCAGCACAGGGACGAACCGTCCACACCGAGCACCCTTTGAACCCTCCCAAGGTGGGTTCAGGGCACACCCCACCACCACCTGCCGCGGCCGAACCAATGACCGAGTCCCACCGGGCGGATTACCCCTGGATACATCTCCCGGCAGGGCGGGGAGGCCTCTTTCCCCCCGCACACCGCGGCTGGGCTCCCCTTCCTCGGCAGCACCGCGCTACCCTCGCTCCACATTTACAGCCCCAAAAACCACCCGCGGCCGAGCTCCCCGGACCCCTCCCCGCTCCCGGCCGGCCAGGCCGCCTTCCCCGCCCCGCGGCCGGCGCGGCTCCCCAGGCGAGCCCGGTGCTGCGCAGGCCTCGCCGCCCCCCGCGGTACCGTCGGCCGGGGCGCTGGGGCCCGGCTGGGCCATGGCTGGGCTGGGCTGGGCTGGGCCGGGCCGGGCCGGGCTGGGCGGGCGCCGCCGCCGCGGCCTCCTCCGGGCGGGGACCGCTACGCCACGGGCAGGGAGACGGGAGCGGCCGGGCCGGGCCGCCGCCTCCTCCGCCTCATCGTGACAGCAGCGGCTGCCGGCGGCGGGAGGGGAGGAGAGACGGGCGGGAGGAGGAGGAGGAAAGAAGCAGCAGCAGCAGCAGGAGGAGGAGGAGGAGGAGCCCCGCGCAGGCGCCCGCGGTGAGGGACGGGAACGGCCGCCGGGGCTGGGAGGGAGCGGGGTGAGGACAGGGATTGGGAGTGGGGTGGGGAGAGGGAACAGGGAACGAGGAGAGGGACAGGGACTGGGAATACAGACTGGGGACAAGGAACAGGGACGGGGGACAGGAAATAGAGACAGGGGATCAGCCCTGGGAATAGGGACTGGGGACAGGGATAGGGAGAAGAACTGCGACTGGGAATAGGGAACAGGGAGAGGGAATAGGGACTGGAGCCAGGCACAGGGAGGGGGACAGGGGGTGGGAATAGGGACTGGGAACGGGGAACAGGGACAGGTATTGGGATTTGGGATAGGGACTGGGAATAGGGACTGGGGACACGGACAGGGACAGGGTGAGGGTGGTGGTGGCTTGTCCAGGGTCCCCACCCAGGCCTCTCCCCTCAGCGGCGTGCCCCTGGGTCTGCAGCCTAAAAGTATAGTTGGTGTTTATTATTCAGGAAATCGGTTTAAGCAACACCAACAAACACTATTCTGCCCCACAGTCACAGACTCACTGAGGTGGGAAAACACCTCTGAGACCATCACGTCCAGTATTTGACCAATCACCACCTTGTCGACCAGCCCAGAGCACTGAGGGCCACGTCCAGTCGTTCCTTGATGTGATGGGGAAGGAAGCACCTGAGATTTGTAAACAATCAGAAAGTTTTATCAGTAAATTACACACTTGGTATGGAAATTGGTGTATTAATGCCTGACCTACTATAGTTGTCACACTTGAACACTTAAAAATTGAGGTGTAACCAGGGGGGCAGTGGAAGGAGCCTGACCAGCCACAGGGTCCCTTCCCCAGCACCTGTGCTTGGTCTGTGTTCATAGGCTTTAGTCCTTCCACCTAACTGGGAGAACGTGTCTAAACTTTAGGTTTTTACCAATAAAATGGTAGAGTTGCATCATTTGAGCTCATGTAAAATCACAGAAAGCAGAGTTAGAGTGGAAATTATGATACCAGATCCTGTCATGGGCAGGATCTGTTACGACTCGCCTTTCTTATGGCTCACACACCCTAAAATCAATCCCTTTTAAACTCAGTCTCTCTTACAGCCACAGTTTTTCAGGCCTTGTTGTAAAAATACATGGTATAGCAAGGCATGGGATTCTGCATTTCCTAATAAAGTTTTGCTCAGTTAAACCAAATGCAAACCTGAAATAGGGAATCTTTGAAAATTATTCTGGTTTACCCTTTTCAATCAGTTGAGGTAAATCTTCTCAAGTCTTTGCCATTGTAAAAAGCAGGCTTAAACTAAAGACTTAACTTCTCAGTGTTCCCAACTTGAGACATGTAGGGCTTTCTTTTTATGGGTATTTGGAAAACCCAGAAGTGCCAACGGCTCACAGAATTGCTGACTTAGTCACAAGGTGATCAAAGGATGAAGCATCTATCACTTGAGGCACATTTACACATTTCTTAGCTCCTGCTTAGGCTCTTTTACAGGTAGCTGGATATTACAAGCATTCAACACATAAATCCCTTTGAAAACCTAATCCTGTGGGAACTGAGCTCTTGAAACTCTGCCCTGCTCTGTGTTCATATGGGTACCCCAAAGTACCCACATTAGCACTTATTTTCATCTGGTTCATGTTGAGGCAAAACTCTGGCACGTTTTGCATGGTCCAGGATCAAACTGAGTGCAGCATCACTCCAGCTGCAAACAGAAAGTAAGATAATATCAAGCTTGATATCTGTTGTACCTACAAGTGCTTATTAAGGAATGAATATCGTATCACTTCCATCACTTCAATTGACAATTAGAATTGCAACATTTCAAAACCTTTATTAGAACTCCTGAGCTTACATTCTAAATGGGTTTTGTATGTAGTTTGAAGAGTATAAAAACCCTCAAGGGGCTTGTACTTTTATTTTTCCTTCTTGTTCTTCCATCTAGAGCTGTACTAGCTTTATATATATGGTTCTTCCCTAATCTTTCCTGCTTTTTCTGGACAGTAATTGGACTTGACAGAGGCAAAGGTTTAAGTAGTATCTATCAGAATGTCTTCTAACCTGGAACAATTGAGTAACTTCCTCTGCGCCTCCCAGAATGTCCCATTTAATTCTAATCACTTGTAGTTCTTATAGCCTTGATCTCCAAGGATTTCCCAACATGACTCAGCTCAATCTTCAAAGAGGTGAAGAGGGTTTGGCAGCAGTTTGCAGTCAGAGGAACAGCTCTGTTGCAGTGCAGAACCAGCAGAGACCAGGAGTCCTGAACGTCAATCCCTGGGCTGCACATTTTGGACAAGTGCAGTATTAAGGAACCAGTGAGGCAGGTGAGCAGAGACTATTTCTGGAATAAGCTTCTCCTGAAATCCCATGAATTTTTATCAAATATACTTGGCCTACAAGTCTAACATGGGTGTTTTCAGCAGCAGCAGACACAAGTGAATGGAAGACACATCTTCCTAGAGAGTGTGTGCTGTGTTAGTACAGGAGGAGGAGCAGCTGTCCCTCTGCAGTCTGCCTGAAATTTAATCCTGTAGGGTTTCTGAAAAAGAGAAGTTTGAAGCTTTTCTTTGAACAGTAACATCCAGGGACAAGCAGTGAGTGTGAACACAGTGAGGTTGCTGAAGTCCAGGAAGAAGCTGAGTGAGACTGGAGTTGTTTGGTTGCGAAGAGCACAGTGAAATAATTCACACAACACAACTTGGAGAGAAGAAGTATTTTCTTTTTGCCAGAGGAAAATAAACGGGTGGAGAAAGAGGTAATTAAATATTTTCCTAATAGTTCTGTCTTGTGGTTGGTTGACTTGAGTGCATATGGATGCTCAAGTTCCAAATTAAACTTTTCCTGCTTATTTTTTTTGGTCATGTAGAAAGATTTTTCTCTTTCTAGGTCTTTGCTTTTACCTTTTTTTTTTTCTTTTCCTTTAATTGGGGCTCTTTAACCTCAAGTGAAGCATCTCTTTTCATGAGGCTTTGAAGAATGTATTGATCACTATCCTTATCTCTGAAACTAGTCCCAGATCCCAGCTCTGGCTGAGTTACCCTCACTATGTCCCCAGTCCATGTCAGGATAGGACCCAATTACATACCTTTTACTGCCACTTGCCACAAATTGCACAGCTTTGGAGGAGGCCACTGCACACTCCAGCAAGTCCCTTGATAATCAGAGGGACAGGACTGTGATCAAACTGAGGAAGGTATGATCACAAAAGCTTTGTATTCACAGGAAGTGAGGCTAATAAAATACAGATCCAATTCCTTTAGTTTTGAAAGGCACGAGATACTATTGTTTTATACTCCAGCTAAGCCAATTCTACAAAAACCAGAGCCTTTAAAAAGATAAACTAAATTTCTGGACATGCAAGGCCAAGTCTACATCTGGTGTGAATCCAGTGGAAACAGGCTGATGTGTGGGAAATGAGAAGCATTTTGATTCTGTATCACAGAATCAAAATGGAGATTAAAAAGACCCTCTGAATTGGGCTGTTTCCCATTTCTGTTGCTTTTTTGGCCACAAAGAAGTTTGATTCTGCTGTGCCCTGAACGGTGGGAGTTTGCAGTGAATTACAGGCCCTGCTCCCCAGTGGAGTTCAACTCATAAACCACCCACTGCTTAATTCAATTAATCCAAGAAAGCTGAGTAAAGAGGTGGATTTGGGAAGCAGCTTTGTGGGTTGCTGAGACTAAACTCCAGTGCACTCACAGAAGAAAAGAATTACAGCACTGGGGACACTCTGCCTCGGCAAGTGGGAGAGCTGATTTCCTCTCTCCCAGGTGACTCTACCTGTAGGTGAAGAGTTTGGTAACAGTTTCCATTGGACAAACCATGAAATGACATCACCTTTAGATGAGTGCAACAAGAATGGTTCCAATGTGGAGAGCAAACATATGACCAGAAAAAAAAGTGTGTTCTTAACTTCAGGTGAAGGCCAGGGAAGCAGAAGTTGCACACACCTTTGAGGAGGGACTCGGTGCCTCAGGACAGGGAGCCTTGGCCTCATTCAAAAGGCAAGTAACAGCCTTGTCCTTCTAAGCAAAAGGGAAGAGGACAACCAGAATTTACTGCTTGCACTTTATCTTATTTTATTTCTATATTTGGCAGAGTTTTTCTACTGTTTTTCTCACTTTTTTTTATTTGTTTAAAATAAAGTGTTCAGAGTTTCCTAATTTTTAAATGTTTATTTTCCTTCTGGTGAGACTGATGGGTCATTAGCATTGAGTATTAGTTCTGCAGCTATGAGTGTTTGTAGGCTTTGGTCCTTTCTCTTTAATGCAAAACTTTTGGAGAAAATTTACATTCATCTAAGTATTACCATGAAGAGGTTGGTTAAAAATCCCAAACCAGTCATGCTCCTTGCTTCAAAAGTTATTCTGGAATGCAAGGAATTCAGTCTGGAACAATTACATTATTTGCAATGGTAACTTCTTAGCGAACCCTGGAATAGTTTATGTGGTTAAAAACCTTTTCAAGAGCAATTGAAAAATTATGTTATCCCATCTATTGTTTAAAGGATTCCATGTGGTACAGTTCTTTGAATATGTGGGAAGAAAATGAAGCCAAAAATGAAAATTTGGCAAGCAAAAATTGAAGTGCTTGCATTGGCCCTAAATCCAGATATATGCACATTAATGATCTCATTTGAAAGATGTCTCTATTAAGATCTGAGAGCTCTCTGTGTTCCCAAGGGACAGGCTCATTGAATATTGTGATGTACCGTGAAACTAAACAGTTTTTCTTATTTCTTACCTCAAAATAACCAAGGAGTCAGAAACTCATTCTGTGTGAGTAACAAAAGGGCACATTGAGAGCACAGTCTTTTGGGTAACCTTGCTCAGCAATACATTAGAATTGCCACTACAGGGAGACACAACTCTGCCTTGCACTAACACACTCCTTCATTGGAAGGTATAAAAGTAAGCCCTGACCCATTCAGACTCACTATACCTGTATTAACAAAATTATCTGCACACACTTCAACTACTGCAGTACCAAGTCCAGCACCTCTACTTAAGTCACTGCTGAAGGCAGATTTGGACAAAGGCTCCCTCCTGCCAGCTTTGTTATTGCAGCAGGATTTTACAGCACAGGAGAGCAGGCACCAGAGTCAGTCACCACACATTTATCACACCTCACCCAGCAAAGCCCAGGGTGGGCCAGCACTGGGACCTCAGAGAGACCTCTCTTGTTTTTCACTCTGTTCACGAGATTATACTTTTCTTTGAAAAACCTAAAATAGCAGCAGGAGGTTCTGCTTCTTGAGGCTGCTTTGCATAGAAGTGTTCCATGTAGTAGTGTTTCTCTAACCAACAGACCATGTCAACAGTAGCATCCCATGCATTCAACTTCCTAATCTTGAGTCGACCAGTTCATTAACATCAACGAGATGAGTCATGTCAGATCTGCAAGACTGGGCCATTTATCCCATTTTCTTCCTCTGAGGCACAAGCAGATCAGATATCCCATAAATTCTAATGGTTTGCAGTGCCCACTTGCCAAGAGAAGGAGGGAGTGTTGCAAGTACCATAAAATTCCTTGTCCCATGTGTGTCATATTAAATGGTGTAGCCAAAAGATTTCCCTGTTAAGGCTGCAGCAGCAGTGCTCATTTTGGAGTGTTTTATTCATCCAACCACTGTTAACCCTCAGTTTGTCCCTCTCAGAACTGCCTTTGGAGACATTTAGAAGAACAATACCCAAGAAATTGTTGTGTAAAGAGGGGACCAGGCAGCTAAAGAGACTCCACAGGATTTCAGAGGATCACCACATCTTTGCAAATCCTTCAGCTGAACAAGCCCACCTTTTGAACAGTTAATCCAGGTAGGATTGCTGGAAGCTCCAAAAGTGTAGCTCAAGGCCTTCCTCCAGGTGGGACTCCACAGTGATTCCTGAGCCTTTTCAGTCATTCCTGAGCTTTGCCAATTCCTGTATATCCAGAGACAGTCCAACCAAATACTTGTCAGTACAAGTTAAAATCCCACATCTTAGGTCAGTGGGTACACCCATATGGTCCAGCTATTTCTCATCGATGCCATCCCATCCTTATGAATCATTTTATTCCCTATTTTCCCTGATTTCTCCTAAGTGTTACAGTGGTCTCTCTATTTGCCTCTTTATTTCACTGGAGTGCCTTTTCCAGACCTATGTCCCTTAGATGTAGATACACAAAATATTTTGTATTTCTATGGCACCTTCCACTGGAGAAAGAGCCTTTTAGTAGAGCCAGAAGAGAAGGAATTATCTTGCATTTACAGGCTGAGCAGACCCAGAGACACAGCCTGATTTTCCTGGGGATACACAAAAATCAGCAACAGGAAGGAAAAAACCTGAACGTGTGTCTCCTACTCCCTATAGCTTTTTTGTCATGAAGTACATTTCCTTTCCTTATTCATCCCACCTTTAAAAAATACCAAAAATACTTCTGACCTTCTATGAAAAATAGCTGAAAACAAACATCTGTTTTAAAATGAATATTTCTGAGCAGGTGAAAAGATCAAACAAACTCATTTTCTATAGAATCTCAGTTTGATTCTCTCAAAAATGTTTGCTGCTGAGGTAGCTTCCCTGCCTGGCTCTTGCACCACTCAGGCAGCATCAAGAAGCTCCTTTCCCCTCTGAGACCACAGGAGGTTTCACATTACGTTGTTAACCTCCCTCAGATCATCTCCTCCGTGCACAATCCCAGTCACATTTACATGCAGACATAATGTCACTCAGCCCACTTTATGCCACTTAAATCTCTCTCGTTGCCATGGGGAGCATTGATAAGGAACCAATTAGCAAATAAAATATTTGAGGACGGATGTGGAAGCCACTACTCCGTGGATTTGTGTGTCACAGGCAGTGACATTTCGTTTGGCATTTGTCCTTACCTGGCTGAGCTTCTTCCACTGCGATTTCAGCTACATTGTGTAGTCAAAACATGCCCTTCCCACGGGATTTAGAGGCTTAGACGTGCAACACTATCTGACCCGGGGGAATTTTTACAGTTCTCAGGAGAAGAGGGATTGCTTGGAAAGCGCTTTTCCGGCATGGAAGTGCCAAGAGCACCATCCAGTGCCCGAGCAGAGTAAACACACAGGAACTCCATGGCGTTGGGACAAAGGCAGCTCTGCACATCCCATAGTCCAGCTACACGTGGTGGGGTGCACGAGAATTTAATAAAATACAGACGCTTACAGAAGGAACTTGGAAGGGAAGTCTGGCAAAGCGGTCAGCCTTTCAGGAGGACAGGAGACAACCTGGAAGATCCCATCTTTTAAGCTAGAGCTGTATTCTGAGTTGAGTTACTGATGATTTAGGCAGCAAAAGATGCAAGGGAGGAGGAAGAAGAGGTGGCAATAGATGGAGCTGGTTAAGAAAAGTAGGTAATTAAATCCATGATGGAAAGGAGCTGCTGCAGAGAGAGAAAACCGGGCCAGATCCTGCAATCCTTCCCCTTTGAGAATTGAATCAGCAAAGAGAGGCCGGGAAGGTGTGCTGGCAGCTGAGAAAATAAGGGAGAAGTGACCTCAGCTGCCACTGCCCAGTCCAACAGCCTTGTATGGCTTGTCAAATGTGGGTAGTCCTGGATTTCGAGAATAAAAATTATTTGGAAAAAGATTTTGCACACATGTGGGCCATAAGTACTGGTAATTCTTACTACATATGGCTACAGGCTGTTGGTGGGCTAGAGAGAAGGAACTAATTGGAGAACAAGGAGTCCTTGGGGCTAAAAGTGGGCACAGGCAGAAATTAATGTTATCTGTAAAGAAGTGATACCCAAAAAGATGTCCAAGAAAAAGCATGCAGCTTTTCCAGGGACTGGTAGCTGTGCAACAGTGTATGGAAACTTTGTGTAAACAAGGAAACAGGAGTTTGGCATATTATGAACTGGACATTTATTAATCAGAGATACAGAGTGCTGCAGTTTAGCACGATATTTGTGGTAATCTGTCACTAATATGTTCTCCCTAAAATCAGACTTTGGGCATAGTATAGAAATGCTGTAATCCAAGACAGCTCCTCTGTTGTGTTCAGCTTCACATGTGTTTGCTCTTACTCTTTTTATATTGAACTTGCAGAGCAAAACTCACTTCTTTGATTAATATTGAGCAGTGTTTTGTTAGTGCCCTGTGGCAGAAGTGCCCAGATGGAGTGGGTTGAATACTGAAAACATGAGAAGCATTTAGTGTTCTGTGGAGCTCTGTTAAAGTTGTCTGAATAGAACATCTGGTATCAAACCTTGGGATAAATCAGTTTGGACCTGCTCTGGGTCTGTGCTTTGTTCCAGCTTTACATTCCCTCTCTTCCTTCCTTGTTCCTAGAGCCAATAGATGATGGTTTATTGCCTGGTGCAACCCATTAAAGTCCCTTTGTTGGGGCTTGGCAATTAGTTGAGCAGAAAGAGTATAAAAATCACTTTGACATCTGTGGGGTTGAAATGGCAACGCTGACTTAAGATCTCCCTGAAAGGCTTTTTATCTGTCCTCAAGGTGTGGCAGAAAGAAGAAAGAGTGGTTATCCAGAGACTTGGGGAAGATATTGCCTGATGTGCCTGCAGAGTGTAACCCTGTTAAAGAGCTTTTGTGTGTATAAAACGTGTCTGCCCACCACAGGGCCCTGGTGTGGGCATGCAAGACCTCCCTGCCAGGGGAAATTCTTGGTATCCCACTGCTCAGCACTGCCACATCCCTCTGCCAGCCCTGCTTTGTGTGCAAGAAAAACTCCTGCAGATTTGAAGAGTGAGGAAGGAAGACGGGAGCCGTTGGGGTGTCGTGTGACCGACACCACACAGCAGATGGAGGTGCCCATCCTTCAGTCCTACAACACATTCCACAGCCCCAGCCTTCCCAAACACATCCCACTGCTGGGAACAGTGAGGTTTTCACATCAAGAACTGTGACTGCAGAGGCGAATCAGGTGCTGAGGCACATGGACACCTAATTTAGAAGTGTTTGAGATGAACTCCTTGCACTTTAGGAAGTGTTTCAGCTGAGGTACACAGAGCTCCCAAATACCCTTTGGATATT